GTGGTTCTCAAAGTGCCATTTCCCCGACCAGAAATATCAGCAACATCTGGGAATTTGTTAGAAATGCAAAATCTTGGGTCCCAGCCCAGACCTGCTTCTTGAGACCCTCCAAGGGCGGGAACCAGCGAATCTGTGTGTTGGCCCTCCAGGTGCTTCTCATGCACACTAGAGTTTGAGAACCCCTGTTTTAGAGCAGCAGCTCTCAAGCCTGGCTGCAGGTTAGGATGGCCCAGAAGGGTGTTTAAGAATCCCAAGGCGCAGGCCGGGCGTGGTGGCTCACGCCTGTAATCCTAGCTCTCTGGGAGGCGGGCGGGCGGATTGCTCGAGGTCGGGAGTTCAAAACCAGCCTGAGCAAGAGCGAGACCCCGTCTCTACTATAAATAGAAAGAAACTAATTGGCCAACTAATATATATAGAAAAAATTAGCCGGGCATGCCTGTAGTCCCAGCTACTTGGGAGGCTGAGACAGAAGGATCGCTTGAGCCCAGGAGTCTGAGGTTGCTGTGAGCTAGGCTGACGCCACGGCACTCTAGCCTGGGCAACAAAGTGAGACTCTGTCTAAAAAAAAAAAAAAAAAAAAAAAAAAGAATCCCAAGGCCCAGGCCTCATCCCAGACCAATTACACCAGAATCTCTTGGGGTGAGACTCAGCCATCAGCATTTTTTAAAGCTTCCCAGGCCATTCCAGCGTTAGGCCAAGGTTGAGATCGACTGTCCTAGAGGGTGGGGACAATGTTCTCTGAAAGGAGCTGTAAACATTTGGGACCATTGGTAAGATATAATCTTTTAGATGCATCACAGGTATGGCAGCCCCTGTAATGGGGTCTGAGGAACTTAAAGTGGACAGTGTTGGGTGGGGGTGAGACTAATGCCTGGCACTGCTTCAAACTGGTCTCTTACAGAGTGTGATGGGGGGGGGATTGAAGGAAGAAGCAAAGCTCCCCTTTGTCCTGTTCCCCCTTGCCTTCTGCAGCAGAACCAGGAAGGAAATGAGCACTGAAATCCGCACTGTCACTTAACCCAGCCTGCACAAAGATCCCGTCACACAGCGTGTTATTCCCATTTTGTAGGGGAGAGAACTGAAGTCTGGGAAGGAGCATCACCAAGATGCGCACCTGGTCGTTATAATTGCACAACTCACATCTTCCTTAAAGTTTTCACTTTGCCAGTTCCCCAAATTCTGGCTGCTTCAAGTGTCGTTTGATGTCTTACCTGTTGTGTTTTGTTATGTTTGCCTTTTTGTTTGGAACAGATTAAAAATAATGAACCTTTGATCAACGTGCTTTACAAAGTGCTGAAGAAGTCAGCACGGGGCTGTCGGCCCAGGAGAAGCGTAAGATGATCTGATCCGTGTCTCCAAGCGGGGCCATTCCATTGCTTCTTGCTCAGTGCCGGCTCCATCACTTGCTTAACCAGTTGCTCTCCTGACCGCCCCAGGCTTCCTGCAAGTCATTTTGATTTATTTTCTTTAAATTGAAGCACTCTTCAGCATTTTGGCTGATGCACCAGGCTGAGCCTCTCATCTGTGGTGTTCTGTGACTTCATCTTTTGTGCTGCCAAGGGGTGGGGGAGCTTGCCTGGCTTGCCACCAGCTTGTGTCGTGTTTCCATTCTCGCGTGTCTGCCCCCACAGTGAGGGCTCACCTAGACAGAGTTGAGCATGAGTTTCTTGGGAGGGAGCAGCAGTTGCTGATCACCATGCAGGAGCCAAGATATCCTCAGATCCCACTGTGGTCCTGGGATTAAAGGGGCTCTTTCTGGGGGGTAAGGCATTGATATTTGGATAACAGTATGGAGCTAGACTAGAACACCGTGCCACCCCTATACCCCCTTTGACTGATACAGAAGTAGTGACTGCAGCATGGCCAACTCTCATAGCATTCCAAGGAAGACTGCAGGTTGGGAAGCAGGCATGGTGTCCAACCATCCTGAGCCCCAAGGAAGTGTGTTGGGATGTGGTGAAGGGGAGGTAAGATGCCTTGGGGGGGTTTTGATTCCCTTCTGATGCAGAGACTTTTTCAAATGGATGGGTGCCCACAGACTTTTACTTTCTCCAGTGACAGAGTTGCTGGGAGGACCCATAGTTGAAATTTTGTTTTACTTTATTTTTTTGAGACAGGTCTCGCTCTATTTCCCAGGTGGTGCAAGCAATTCTTCCGCCTCAGCCTCCCAAATAGCTGGGATTACAGGAATGTGCCAGCACGCCCAGCCATAGTTAATGTTTTATATGAATTTAAATATTGCTATCATAATATCATACTTTTCATGTATCATACTTTTCATGTATCATGTATCATAATATACATATCATACTTTTAAAAGGAAAATTAGAGTAATATACTACTGTGGATATAGTATTTCTTAGTAGTCCTGGCTCTCTGGAACAGAGCTAAATTCAGAAGCTTAAAGGGCCTCCAAGCTGCGTGTAAACAGCTATCGCTGAGCCTGTGCTCTAAAGCCATAGGAAGCAGAGCCAACTCACTTTATTTTGATACATTTATGAACTCACTAAGCAAATATTGCCCAAATAGCCTCGATATGCTAGGCCCTGGCTGGCTTTGAGGATCCAGAGAAAATATATCAGCCTCCACAGTCACCCCTAATTAGGTTACTGTCTAGTGAGGAGAGACAGATGAGCAAACAGAACATCCTAATCTGGTGAGCTGAGTAGTATAGCAGCAGCAGGCACAACGCGTGGGAGGAACACCCTGGGGGGCACCAAACCCAGTTAAAGGGAGGGAAGAGACAGAACTAGCTCCTGTCTGTTCTTTTAGCTCTTTGAATTCCTTACAACACCTTATAAGCAGTGCTTATTTATAAAAGGGGACAAAAGAAATCTACTTCTTAGAAAAGAGGGAATACTAATAACCTGGGGGTAGGGGTTGAATGTATATGCAGTATGCTATGAAGGCAGCAAAGGGGGCATACTTTTAGAAAGCTTTCCATCAAAAAGTACCATTTAGAAGATTCAGCTTGCTCAAAATGCCCTTTTTGTGTAGAATGTCTCATTCCTTTCCTGATGGTGTTGGATAAATGAGGCATTGCTCAGTTAGATTTTCTGCCTTGTTATTTAAGTATCAAAAAGATATCCTCTGTAAAAAGCTTCTGTGAAATAAGGTGAAGAGTTTTGCTAGGGGGGAAAAATCCTCAAATCCTCAATTTGAAAATGATTTCTACCCAGGAAATGAGCGAAGGGTCAGACCCTTTGGAGAGTAGGTAAGCTCTTTGTCCTCCACTTTGATGTGACAGAGCGAAGACTTCACATGGCTTTCACCTGCTTTTCTCCTGGTTTCCCCTGAGTTTAAGCCCAAGTCCTGCCTGAGAAGTTCAGCTGCTTGTGGTTCACCAGGATTAATTTCACGCCCTTCCTCCCCACTCATCTCTTCACTCCTGTCCCCACCTCCTCTCCTCTCCTCCCCCGCCCCCATTGCAGGAGACAGCACAGTCTATTTGTTTGTGGGTCGTTGCTTAGTCCATGTGTTCTGCAACTGTGTGTATACATGTATGTACACAATCTGCCAGTTTGAAGAGCAGAATTTGGCGGGAGTTCTATTTTTTCCAGGAACTCTACAACACCAACCTACATGTGTTCCCCTTTGACCTATGTGCAATTCAATAAGCATTTGCTGAGTTTGTGCCAGGTCTTATGGTCAGAACTGACTTTACCAAGACAAATAAAACAATGGTCCCCACCCTCTTCTGTGTGACTGACCAAAGGGACCATGGGAGTGGGTGGAGGTGGGTGTGCAGCCCAGAATCAGTCCAAGGCAGGAAGAGGTCACTTTCCCTTGACCTTTGGGTTTGCTGGGAGAGGGACACACGAAGGGCTTGAGCACTAAGGGGAAGGTTTGCTAGTATATTCCTGCTCCTGATTCACACTGACAGACTTACTGGTCCTCCCAGATGGTCCTCCCAGACTTACTGATCTCTTCCAGAGGAGAGATCGAAGACCATCTCTCCAGCAGCTGTCTGTCCATCCATATTGGGACCCTTTTCATAGCACACACACCACCTGTCTCTGATGCCACTAGCTCCACCCTTTGTTTTCCTGGCCAGATCTGTAAAACAGAGCTCAGTGAGGTGGCTTCCCCACATGTGACACGTTAGACCTGTCTGTCCCTGACCTGGTCTTGGCTTTGGGAGGCACATCTGTGAAAAAGCCATCCCCCTCCTTCCCTGCACAGCTTTTGGCAAGGAGGAGATTGGGGGAAATGAAAACATGGAATGAGTTGGATTTAGCTATTAGGAGTCACTGAGAGATAAGCAAGGTGTTGCCCACTTTGAGTCAAGCAAGGGATAGGAAATGTTGTGAGATCCCATTGGCAGTTTGGGTGACTTTTGTCTATTGCTTTGTGATTTCCTTTCTTGACAGGACAAGGGATATACATGTAACAAGTAAACCCTAGACTCAGGGATCAATTAAAAAACCCAGCTGGGAACTATCCGTGTTTCTTCTTCCCTTGGCCAGGTTGTCTTCCCAAATAGTGTAGGGTGAGGAAGACTGACTTTACTCACAGGAAAGTGGGCTGCTCAGAGACTTCCTCGAACTAAGGGTCGATAGTGCTCAGGGATTTGCTTGTTCCTTCTGGCTCTCCCACTCCACTACCCTGGGCAGGGGGTGATGGACTTCTGTACCATGTGTTTATCCCCACATTCAGTAGCAAACCTCTGTCTTATCAGTGGCAAATCTTCCAAGATTCATACAGATTTTATCACGCTCATTTTGGGCAAATATATGCTTCTAAAATTGATGATCCTGTAACTCAAATATCTGCATTTTCTTTCATTTGAGGAATTTATAAGTGTTACCTGGATCATGAAAAGATTTTGGGTTTTTTTTTTACTAAAATGAAAAAGGCATAGAGATAAAGCAGGTATTGCCCGAGTTTCTGTCCATGCCATGACCCTACCTGTCACTGCCAAGGACTTCCACACCCTTTCCTTCCTGAGCTCTGATCCCAAACATTATGGTCAAATCTCTTTTAAATTGTTCACCTCCCAGATGACAGGCCGAGACCTCCTCAAGGATCGAAGTCTGAAGCCTGTGAAGATAGCCGAGAGTGACATTGATGTGAGTGAGCAGAGTGAGGTGCTGACCCCTCGGCCACCTCCTGACCCAGACCCAGGGTGGGCGGCTTCAGGCAGGGTTTGGATGGTTCTATAGCGAAGGCTTTCTGATCACACTCCCAAGGCCTTGCCCTCGTCTCACCTTCCCAGGCCCTCTCTAACCTGTTCTTGCTTATAGGTCAAACTGAGCATCTTCTGTGAACAAGACAGGATCCTCCAGGACTTGGAAGACAAGATACGAGCCCTCAAGGAGAACAAAGTACACATAAATTTTGCATAATCTTGGGATGGGTGAAGGGGCATTTTGTCCTATCATTCCTAAGGTGTAGACTGGACTCTCATGTTAGTATAGAACAACAGGTGTTAGCTTATCCAGAACAATGTCTTTGTGTTGAAATGGTACTTCTTGAGGGTTTCTCTCTTAGAGGGAGAACTTACAGGGATACCTCAGCCTACTTGTTCTAAGAACTGCAGCTCCCCCCGCCCCGATTCTGCTCTGGCCTACCCCTCCCTGGAGGAGCTCCACCAGCTTGTATGTGCTGACCCCAGGGAAGGGAGGCAGGCTGGCTTGGAGAAGGAGCTGCAGTCGTTACAGGGCAGAGGCCCTCACTTCTTAAAGCTCCTTTTTACCTAGAATGTGGGCCATGGAGACAGCAAGTCTGGACTGGAAGACTACCATTGTTTGGTCTCTTATACTATTTTTTTTTTTAGAGATAGAGTCTCACTTTGTTGCCCAGGCTAGAGTGAGTTCTGTGGCGTCAGCCTAGCTCACAGCAACCTCAAACTCCTGGGCTCAAGCAATCCTTCTGCCTCAGCCTCCCAAGCAGCTGAGACTACAGGCATACGCCACCATGCCCGGCTAATTTTTTCTATATATTTTTAGTTGGCCAATTAATTTCTTTCTTTTTATAGTAGAGACGGGATCTCGTTCTTGCTCAGGCTGGTTTTGAACTCCTGACCTTGAGCGATCCACCCTCCTCGGCCTGCCTCCCAGAGTGCTAGGATTACAGGTGTGAGCTCTTAAAGTGGACTTTTTTTTCTGTCTGCATTTTAATAAGGCATTGTATATGTGATGGTGACAATTTTTAACATACCCTTTTCCCTGAGAGCTTAGAGAGTTTTCTGTCTACTTTTTGATTTATCCTCATAATTTATCCGATAAGGAGTTAGATGCCTTTGTGCCCACTTTATAGATGAGGAAACTGAGGCACAGAGCTGTTAGGTGCTTTCCCCAGCCCACCCAGTGCATGGAGTGAGAGCTGGCCTCAGAGGTCCTGTCAGCCCCTGCCTGGCTCTGGCCCTTGCAGCTTTGGTTAGATCCAGCAGCTTTGTTTGGTTCCTGGTGTGGTGTGGGGTGGCCTCTGGGGACTGTCCCCATATCCTGTTGCTCTTTGGCCTTTCCTGGTGCAGGACCAGCTAGAATCCGTGCTGGAAGTGTTGCACAGACAGATGGAGCAGTACCGAGACCAGCCTCAGCACCTGGAGAAGATTGCCTACCAGCAGAGGTTGCTGCAAGAGGACCTCGTCCACATCCGAGCTGAGCTCTCCAGGGAGATCACTGTACGTAGAGGGTGGCAGACACTTCCCCCTCAGGATGGGCTGGGCAAGGGGCTGCTTTTCTCATCTCCCAAGCTGTCATTGAGTTGTTGGCTGGGGTGAGAGTCTTGGAGGGGCAGAACTTCTCCAGGCTGCCTCCTGATACTAGCTTACCCTTGTCCGAGGGTGGCATGTCCGTCTCTACCTGTGTCTTACGCTGCTTACCATCAGCAGCTCCTGATGGCTGATGACACCCAAGGGAACAGATTTCTCAGAGCAACCTCAGGCTATTTCCTTGAACTGTGTGCAGTGAACTCTAAGGCAGCAGAATTTGTACTTTTTCATTTGCCAGTCTGATGTGCTGCAGGCGCTTTCTGCCAGGGCTGGGAAATCAAAGCACCCCCAGGGTAGAAGAGGGTCCAGTGCAGGTGGCCAGGGTCAGAGCAGGAATGAGAAGATGTCACATTACCTCCCGCTCCTGCCTCTCCCCCACCAGGCCTGCGCAAGCCCACTGAGTCCCCTCCCCTCTTTCCCGGGCTGGGTCTGCATGATTAGGAGCACAGGGGCTCATGAGGCCTGGGGAGGGGGCTGGGGACACAGGAAAAACTAAGAACCAGAAGCATTTCCTTGGCCAACAGGAGATGGAGAATGCTTGGAATGAGTACCTGAAGTTGGAGAGTGACGTGGAGCAGCTGAAGCAGACCCTACAGGAGCAACACAGAAGAGCCTTTTTTTTTCAGGTGATCCAAGGCCTATTCATCCCTTGTGAACTCTGTTTTTGTTTGTTTGTTTGTTTGTTTTTTTTCAGAGAGCCCTTACCTGTGGGGGCTGTGAGCACTACTCAGGGGCCTTCTCCTCCTGGGCCCTGGACTCACCACCCTTGTAAAGGGGCCACCCCAAGCTCGCTCTCGTGGAGGCCTTTCCTTAGCCAGGCTGTGATGAGAAACCTCATCCCAGCTCCCCTGCCTCTCCACTCTCAAAGACAAGCTCTTGAGTGTTTTCAGAAAGATTTTACTTCTGATCATTTGGGGAAACAGACCCAACAGGAGACAAATGCCAACCTTGAACACCTTACAGCAACTTGAGAGTGATTTGTGTTCCCGTGGTTCTTGGCCCCATCTTGGTTCCTAGCTCCTCACTTAGACAGTAACAGGAAGCCCCCACCTCCTTCTCTCCTCTGATTCCTGCAGATAGAAGTCTGTCACCACGTGCCTGAGGAGGTGGTATGAATTCAGCCCATTGAGGTGCCTCTGGTCTCCAGGTGGTCATTTGCATTTCTGGAAGCCAGGCTGGGTGATACCCATCTCTGTGGCCCCTGCTCCACTTGGGAAGGTGGCCTTAGAGGCCTACCTCCTTACCCTTAAAAATCAGGCCACCCCATTAATAGCTGCCTCTGTCCCCCAAAAGTGAGACAATGAAGGGCACTGTGTGGTTTCTTTTCTTCCAGGCCAAGTCCTCACCTGCCCAGTGTTCCCCTATTGTGGTGCCCACCCAGGTTTCCACCCCACCCTTAAATTGTGTAATGTATTTGAATTCAGCAAGCACTATCTGAGGCTGCTTTTGCATGAGGCACCATGCTGGGCCACCTTGGGTGCTGGGTTTGCTAATTGATGAGCCCTGTTCTAGCCAAGGCTCTCTGTTCAAGTGATTTAATGCATATGTTGCCTCTCCAGACATTAGCCTCACCCCAGAAAAGTGAATGAGATTCTCAAGGGAGTTTAGGTTTGTAGGCCCTGTGGCTCTTCCCAGGGCTCTGCTGTCCCTGCACCCAGAGATGGTTCCCAGGAAGCCCAGTCTAGGACCACGTGAAGAAGAATCTTGCCTGTGGCTCAGGGATGGCCTATGAGGCTCCCCTGAACTTGTCTGTCTCTTGCTGTTGCTGGGGTCTGTTCCCTGCTCCCCAATTACCCTTCATCCAAGCTGGCTAACGTTTTACTGTTCCTTTTTGTATGTTCAGCACTTAACATAATAGCTTGAAAATACTAGATGAACATTGTTGACCAAGTCCTTCAATTATTTCTAGTTACAGGTTCCTAAAACTATCTCATCCAGTTATACCTATCATCTTGGACATCAGTGGGTCCACATTAATTTTAGCAGTAATTTTTATTTTTAGCTTTTCATTCTTTTTTTTTTTTTTTTAATCAAGACAGAGTCTCGCTAGAGTGCTGTAGCCTCAGCCTTGCTCACAGCAACTTCAAACTCCTGGGCTTACGAAGTCCTTCTGTCTCTGCCTCCTGAGTAGCTGGGACTTACAGGTGCCCACCACCACACCTGGCTATTTTTTTTCTATTTTTAGTAGAGACAGGGTCTTACTCTTACACAGGCTGGTCTGGATCTCTTGACCTCAAGCTATCCTCCCACCTCAACCTCCCGGAGTGCTAGGTTTATAGGCGTGAGCCACCTCACCTGGCTGTATGTTTCTATAATTATACAAGTAATTCCTGAGTACGTCTCTCTGAAAAGGTTAGAACATGAGAAGAAAAAACAAAAAAAATGATACAAAAACTCCTCTTCCCCCTGCCTTTCAGCCCTAGGCCTCTCACCCTCCCTATATGTAATTGGTGCTATTAGTTAGTGGTATTGCCTCCAGTGGTATTGCTTCCAGACTGTTTTCTATGCATTTCCAAAAATAGGCACATGCATAGAATTATTTATTTGGGGGTGGGACCAGGTCAAAGGCTTACTTAAAGAAGATCACACACATTGCTTGGCAGCTCACTTTTTTGTCATAGCTTTATGTCATGGAAACTTTCCAGGAAAGATACCCCCATGTTTATGCTGCCCAATATAATATAATATTTAATATAAATGAATTAAAAATAAAATTAAAAATGTATTCCTCATTCACACCAACCTCGTTCAAGTGCTTAATAGCCACATGTGGCTGGCTAGTGGCTACTGCGTTGGACACTACAGATTATTGAAGATTTCCATCATCTCAGAAACTCATATTAGACATCATCAGTTTAAATTAAATTAGTTCTTATTGACTATTACATACTATTTCATAGTCTGAGTGTTTCCTACTTTATTTAGCCATTCTTCTTCTGACAGGCATTTAAAATATTTTCAATGTTTTGTTTTTATGAATGGTGCCATTGTGAGCATCCACGTAACTGCCTTTTCAAGCAGGTTTACAAGCATTTATCTAAGATAGGCTCCCAGGAGTGGACTTGCTGGGTTGGAATGAGTACACATCTTAAAAGCCAGTGGATACTGCCAAATCTCCTATTAAAGGACTCCACTTATTTCCCCTCCCACCCACAGCAAATGAGAGTACTGAACCTATTTGCCCACATCCTCATCAGCACTTGATGTTATCAGTCTTTTTAGTTTTTGCCAGCCTATTAAATGATGTCTTGTTTTAATTTGTATTTAATTACTAATAGTTCAAACACCTATTCCTGTGACTGCTAGCCATTTGTATTTCTACTGTGCCTTATGTTATGGTAATTTAACTTATAGCAGGCCCAGAATCCTTTTTCCCCCCTCCAAAAAGCAAATTGGTACAATATACAGGTCTTATCACAGATGACCAGGAGAACTTAGCCTCATAAGTTAGTAGCAGAAAGGCCAACCTGGAGCCTGCAGCTTAATTTCCACCCCACCCTGCCCTGTGGCATTGCTCACACTTTCTTTAACTGCCACCGTGAAGGGGAAGCTCAGGAAGCCTTGCTTTGAGCAGGCTCTGTGCTGGCTCCCTTGGTGTAATCCTAGGCCAGGCAAGCTGTTAGAGCCCTAGATAAATCATTAACACTGCAGACATGCTTCCAGCCCCGTATGCAAGTTCTCAGTAACCGGGCTTGGAAACTCACCTTCCTTTGGCCAGGTTTTGCTGTGAGAAAATCCATAGCCTTTTCAGAAAAGTAGGGTGGCTTTATTTACAAAGATCCATACAGCCACCTGGTGGCAGGGAACTGTGAGACAGGCAGTGATAGCTGAGACTACCTGTAGGCGTTCCCCTCCCAACTTCTGTATGGTGAGTTCAGGCCTCCGCTGAAAACGGTACTGAGAAGCCTTCCCACCCAGCGTGGTAAGAGGAGGCAGGAATGAAGCTCCACCTCCTTGCTCCCCCAAAGTGCCCCTCTCCTCATCATTATGGTCTGAAATTCCATCACCCTGGAGAAAGATAGGAGCTCTGCAGCCTTTGTTTCTCTCTGCTCTTCTCTTACATGTGGGGTAACGGGAAGGCAAAATGGGGCAGCTGCTGGGGGAGCTTTGCCAGGGAGCTGTGGAGCGGGGAGAGGACTGATGCTGATCCCCCTTCCCCTGTTCCCAACATCCCATCGTCTGGGGGATGTCAGCCCTGGAGATAATCCCCTCTCACACACACGCTCGCTAGGTTCAGTAACACATCTATCTGTTTTAGGACGCTCATGCATCAAGCCCATTATTTGCTTGTCAGCCCTGAGGATGTGCTTTGGTGTTGGTAGGGTGAGAGTGTAAGCCTCCTTGGGATGGGAGGCGTCGGATGTCTGTTGTCGTGGTTGTTGGAAAGTATTTGATCAGGGAATTTTACATGATTGGTCCCTTATTCAATTCCACATACCTGCTCTGAGAACTTGCTAAGTACCAGGCCCTGTGGGGAATGTATCAAGGAACGTGGAGTCTAGTTGCAGAATCAACTATTTTAATTTATCTTTATTTTATTTTTCATTTGTTTTTAGTTTTTGGACTTTATTTTTTATTTTCATTTTATTTTACTTTATTTTTTGAGATAGGATCCCACTCTGTTGCCCAAGCTGGAGTACAGTGGCACAGTCATGGCACGTTGCAACCTCCAACTCCAAGGCTCAAGTGATCCTCCTGCCTCAGCCTCTCAAAGTGCTGGGATCACAGGCATGAGCCACCATGCCTGTCCTATTTTTATTTTTGTAAATTGACACATAATAATTGTCCTCCCATTGTACTTTAAAAAAACAATAGCTTTAACATATAATTCACATACCATAAAATTCACCCTTTTAAAGCATACAATTCAGTGGTTTTTAGTATATTTACAGTATTATACAGCCATCACCACAATCAATTTCATGACATTATATCAGCCCCTCAAAGAAATCTTGTACCTATTAACAGTCACTCCTGGCCGGGTGCGGTGGCTCACGCCTATAATCCTAGCACTCTGGGAGGCTGAGGCAGGAGGATCACTTGAGCTCAGGAGTTCAAGACCAGCCTGAGCAAGAGCAAGACCTGTCTGTACTAAAAATAGAAAAATTAGCCAGTGTCATGGCATGCACCTGTGGTACCAGCTACTTGGGAGGCTGAGGCAGGTGGGGTTTCCAAAGGGAGTTCTGCCCCCCAGGATGAGGGGCTGTGTCTGAAATGACAGGATAAGTTCTAAGAAGAAGCTTCCTGTAGGGAGCTAAGAAGGCAATGAGTGAACCACAATCTTATCTTCCTCAGGAGAAATCACAGATACAGAAGGATCTGTGGAGGATTGAAGATGTCATTGCAGGCCTGAGTGCAAATAAGGAGAACTTCAGAATCCTGGTGGAATCGGTCAAAAATCCGGGTGAGTGGCCATCCTCCTGGGTGTGGGAGCCAGCGTGGGGTGGGGGTGGGAGTGTTGGGGGCCAGGTCTTTGTGGTCCTAAGTCCCTCTGCTTGTCCTCCGAGGAAGAGGGTCTTTGTTCCATCCCATGCTTTGCTTCCCTCCGTGCCCCTCAGAAAGAAAAACGGTGCCTTTGTTTCCTCATCCGCCTGTGCCTTCACCCTCGACTGCTGAGAGCAAGCCGCCCCCGCAGCCCAGCCCTCCCACCAGCCCTGTGCGGACCCCTCTGGAGGTTCGGCTCTTCCCCCAGCTGCAAACCTACGTGCCCTACCGACCTCACCCGCCCCAGCTGAGGAAAGTGACGTCCCCCCTTCAGTCACCAACAAAGACGAAGCCCAAAGTTGTAAGTAGTGGTGACGGGGAGCCGAGTGCCCCGGTTTCTTCTCTGGTGGCTGATTGCCCTCTCTGCCCTCGGATCAGCTTCTCCCGGCAGAGAAGCTCTTGGGAAAACTTGGAGAGATGGAACCAGCCAGAGGCCTAAGGGAGCCCTGAGTCGTGAGCCAGTTAAGAAGTCATATTTGCCTTGCCATTGTGCCTTAGACGTCCAGAACTGGAAGGTCCCTGAGAGAGGATCTAACCCCCTCATTTTGCAGTTGGGAAAACCGAGGCCCAGCAAGAAGTGTCCGCTCTGAGTAGGGTGGCATTTGTGGTCTCTGCTGTGCGAGAGATGCGTGGCTGTGGCGAGGCTTCCCCAGGGAAGGGCTCTGCACATCTGTGGAGGGCTGTCCCGCGGTTGCATGAGCCCGTGGGCCACGAGCTCATTCCAGTGGAAAAGTGTCCTTCCCTTCACCTGCCGTTGAGCACTGTGCTGGGTTGTCAGGATACTTGTGATCTTTACAGTGACCTCACAGAGTATAGGTAAGAAGGGCAGCATCCTCATCCCAGAGATAAGAAAACTAAGACCTCTAGTCGTTGAAATTTGCTCAAGGTCTCCATGTTAGTTACTGGCTCCAATCCTATCTCCTGGCTATGCTTTTTTATTCTGTGCCATCTTTCATGTAATTGGACCTTCAGTCCCAGGTCAGATCTATGGCCCATGTAGTTGCCTGGGCCAACACCTTGGTGTGCCTGGCACAGAGAGGGGCCAAGCTCTTGGCAGAGTCTGGGGACACAGGAGACTTTAAAGAAATGGAAGATGTGGCCAGGTACCATGATAGCTCACACCTCTAGAACCAGGCCAGCCTTGGCTGGAGAACATAAGGGATCTGATCCAAATGTAGGGAAGCCATACAGAGGGGACCTTGGGATGGGGGCCTCCAGGTTTTTGCCAGCAAAGGCTTGGGAGGAGCCTTGCCAGGGCGCTATGTGTGCCTAGGACCTCTGATGAGGTTGGTGCACAGTGCTGGGTAAAACACGTGTTCCCGTACCCTGCTCCTCACCATCCACCTGCTTCCAGCCATGGCTCAGGGCCCAGAGCTGGACCCAGGGTGTGGCCCATGACCTAGCCAGAGAGTCACTGTAAATTTTTCCAGCTTGAGATCTCCTTTCTAATCCCAGATCTTAGAGGCAGTCTGGAGCTCCAGCTATAAAAGAGGAGGTAAGAAAAAAAATACCAAAAAAAAAAAAAAACCAACCAAGGAGGTAAAAACAATAGTCTGGGGCAGATGGCTGCTGACATAGGGCAAGGTGCCACCAGCTGGGACAAAGAACAGAAAGGGATAGCAATAGCCTAGGAGCTAGTACACCCGAATTCCAGTCCCTGTTCTCTCACTGTGTTCTCATGCAAGTCCCATCTCCCCTCTGAGCCCCCTCAGTTTCCCTCGTGCAGATGGTCCCAGAGGCTCCTGCTCATAGTGTGGTCCTCTGTGGTTCTCAGGCTTTTTTAGTGTGGACGAGCATCCGGGCACCAGGGGTCTCTCTCTCTCTCCTTCTCGTGATACATGTGTGTTTACCAGTTTTACCACTTGCTGTTGTTGTTGGCATGTTTTTAACATTTATATTTGTGAAACAATAATATCCATCCTGAAGGTGACATTAAACAGGAATATATAATTTCACAAATAATAATGGAGACCACCCATGTTATACTAACACACAGACCAAGAAATAGAACTTTGCTGGCAACCAGAAGCAGCCTGTGGTTTCCTTCCTTGTCCTGGCTGCTTCCTTTCTGCCAGAAATGACCATTATCTTGACTTTTTGGATGATAATTCCCTTGCTGTTGTTTTTTTTTTTTTTAAGTTTTACTACCTATATACTGGCATTCCTGAATACTATAATTATGCTGGTATACAATACTATACTCTTATATGTTGCATTTTTCTTCAACATTATGTTTTACAATTTATCCACATTGTTGCATGTAGCTATAGTTTTTTCCTTTTTATCTGGCTTGTTTTCTTGAATTTAATGTCCTTTTTTTTTTTTTTTACTAGCTAGTACTCTCAAAAGGTACAAAAACAAAAGATATTAAAAAGTATATAATAAAATGTCTCCCACACTTTGTCTCCAGACATTCAATTCTCTTCAAAGGCAATCAATTTTGTGTTCATCTATCTGGGATCTTTTTAGAAATTAGTGGTTCTGATGTCTTGTCAGGGTTGGAAACTGCTGATCCTTGGAGAACAGTGGGTATCTTAGGCAGACGGCCTAACTTTCACACATCAATGAAGCGTGTTGCTTTTAAAAGAATGCTGGTAAACCTTTGCCAAGGAAACTTGGAGTGCCCGTTCCTGAACTCTGCAAAATTCTGAAAAACAAAGCCAAATTAGACTAAGAGGAGTTTAGGAGGAGGAAGACATGATTGATGGTCATTAGTCCCAGGAGTGGGTGTTCATGGCAATCGGGAGCCAGTCTGTTGATGTATAGAGGAACCACAGCCCTCAGAGAGCATTGTGGACAGGGAGTTTCAAGGAAAATAGTTGCATTCATCCCATTCTCGGGAGTGGGCCGTTTGGTAGGCAATGAGTCACTCATCCTGACCGCCTATTCTGTCTGAGTCAGGAAGGAGGAAATATTTTGTAACCGTGCACATTTCTGATGGGAAGGGCAGGAGAGCGTGGACTCTGCCCTTGCCCCCTCCAACCTGATGAAGGATCCAGACGTTTGCAGGGCCAGTGAGCCAGCTTGGGCTGAGTACTGTGAAGTGGGCCAGATGTATGTTCTCCAGGTGGGGGTGCTGCCACTAACCTAGGAGTGAGAGCAGAGGCAGCAGCCTGCCTCCCTATGGTGCTGTCCAAATCAGGAGAGTAAGCAGCTGGCACAGTGCCAAGAGCTTGGACCCTGGAGACCTGAGTTCTTGATTTTGGGATATAGTATATGGAGGTGACACTTTGAAAAATAAAAAAATGTATGAATAGAAGGGAAGAATAGAGATGGAGCAGAAGCATCCCCACTCTTCACAGCATCTCCAGGGGAAGTGTTCGAGCTCCTTGGCTGAGGTGGTCATGTTCTAGGGCTCTGAAGTGGCCTGTTCCTGCCCTTTGGGCCACCCCTGTGGCGGCCCTCCAGCTCCTCTCACTGGGCTGTGGTTCTGGTTCTCTTTCTGAGCAGGAAGACGAGGCACCTCCCAGGCCCCCACTCCCCGAACTCTACAGCCCGGAGGACCAGCCCCCAGCCGTGCCACCGCTGCCGAGAGAGGCCACCATCATCCGGCACACCTCTGTGCGGGGCCTCAAGCGGCAGTCGGACGAGAGGAAGCGCGACCGGGAGCTGGGGCAGTGTGTGAACGGGGACTCCAGGGTGAGCTGGAAGGGCCCTGGGGAGAGGGAGGGTGATGCCAGGTGTGACGCCAGGCAGGTATGACCACCTGCGGCTGTGCCCACAGGTGGAGCTCCGGTCGTACGTTAGTGAGCCTGAGCTGGCGACCCTCAGCGGGGACATGGCCCAGCCCTCCCTCGGACTTGTGGGCCCTGAGAGCAGGTACCAGACGCTGCCAGGCAGAGGTAAGCCAAGGCCCTCCCCAGGGAACCCACAATACCCACACTGCTCCCAACCCTCAGCTGCTTCCTCTCACCCTCGTGCCTGCAGCTTGGGCCTAGGCGTGGGAGCAGCCGGTCGGGGCTGCTGGGAGGGAGGACCTGGCCTGCCCTCCTCTGGCCCCCATCCTGATTCGCTTCCTCCTTTGTTATCTGTCCCCGGAAACAAGGATGATAGCAATTACTATAAAGCCCTGCACCGTTTAAGCACTTTATGGATACCTAATGTTCACAACATCACATGAAGGAAGTACTATTACTATCCCCACTTTAGAGATAAGGAAACTAAGGCTCAGAAGAAATTAAATAACTTGCTAATGAGCTGATCAGTGATGGAGCCAGAAGATGACCCCAGTGCTCTGGCTTCAGAGCTGCTGTACCCTGCAGGCTGGGGTGCTGGGTGACTGGTACTAGCTTGGCCATCTCATCCCTTCCTGAGGGCTTTTCCCTCTTGTGTCACTCTAAGACTCAGTGAGTCCTGTCTTTAAACACTTTCTCCTCAGTTTCTCCTTTCTTCCTTCCCATTGTCCTCCACGATCTGGAGTTGGGTTGTGCGGGATGCATAAGAGTGCACCAGGAGGAAGTGGGACGAAGGGCACTGCTGCCCCTCGGCCTTTCCACCTGTCAGGCAGCCCAGGTCTTCCGCGTGGAAGGAAAGCCTAGGGTAGTCCACAGATCTGCAGGCATACTGTGCCCGTCAGCCCAGGGGTGCCGTCTGTCCCTTCATCCTCCACCTAGGGCCTAGCCCTTCCAGGCCCTGGGGAAGAAGAGAAAGAAGATTGAGTTGTTGGCTGGGTCCTCTTGGTCCTCTCACAAGAATGGGGCGGGGGCTGCTTAGGGAAAGGCAGGGTGCCTGTCCACCCCACCACACTTCTCTTTTCTCACTAAGGTCTCTCAGGGTCCACGTCAAGGCTCCAGCAGTCATCCACCATTGCTCCCTACGTCACGCTCCGGAGGGGTCTAAATGCTGAAAGCAGCAAGGTGACCTTCCCTGTGAGTGGCCTTGAGTTGTCGGGAAGCTCACTGCTCCATCATGTGCTGAGGGAGGGGCTCTGAGATGGGTGGGCAGTGACTGGTGATCCCGTGAGCCCTGGGGGTGGCCTCTGAGGTGACGTCAGCCCCTCTTGGGCTCAGGGTCCCTGTCACCCACTCCCCACCAAGAAAGGCATCCTGCTGTTCCCTCCATTTCCTGAAGATTGCCCACCTTTCTCTCCAGCCTGTCAGGGTCACGGGAGGGAACTTAAGTCTGCTCCCTGGGTTCTGGCCTCATCACATGCTGCATGTGAGCCCAGCTGGACAGGCCTGGGCATCAGCGTCTACATCTGCAGAGTGGGGTGCTGCCCAGAAAGCTCATGAGGGCCAGGAGCATCATGGCGCTTAGCACGTTAACTGCCACGTGAGTTGTATTTAACTCACGCCAGTTTTGAGCCCAGGGCCTCTTGAAAGATGTGTAACTCACACATCTCTTCACCTTGGGAGCTGTGGGAACTATTTTTCAAGTTGCATATAACTCAATGCACAGAAAACAATAAAAAATAACAAATTTTTCATTAAATTAGAAAGGATCATTTTGTTTTTGGAGTTTTTATTCTATTTTCGTAATACAACACCATGGCTCCAGGGAAAAGTTTTTGTTTTTTCTAGTGTGGCAGTCAATGTGTTAGAGGAAGTGGGTCTTTGTGGAGGAGCTGTGTATGTGTATGTATGTGTGTGTGTGAGTGAGTGAGTGAGTGAGAGAGAGGGAGAGACAAAGAACAAGGAGGAAGCCAGCGGGGGGTGGCTGCATCTGTGTTTCCAGCCCAGCAGCCCTGTGTGTCTCTCGCCCTCCTGCTCCTCAGAGACCCAAGAGTGCCTTGGAGCGCCTGTACTCAGGGGACCACCAGCGTGGCAAGATGAGCGCGGAAGAGCAGCTCGAGCGCATGAAGCGGCACCAGAAGGCCCTGGTCCGGGAGCGCAAGAGGACGCTGAGCCAAGGAGAGAGGACAGGCCTGCCCTCGTCCCGCTACCTCAGCCAGCCACTCCCTGGAGATCTTGGCTCAGTATGTTAGGAGGGGCCAGGCAGGCGGGGCTGAGAGAGGCAGAGGTTCCCCAGAGCTGCCCCAGGCACCCCAAACGCAAGCGTGTCATACCCCCGAGTCAACGAGCGGGTTGTGCACCTACATGGTTCAGAGAACACCCTACGGGCTGCTTGTCCACCGTCTGTGACCTGGGCAGAGGGTGACTCAGAACCAGCGCAGGAGTGAGGGTCTCAGAGCAGAGACCTAGGAGCCTGAGAAAATATCCAGTCAGTTCTCTGAGGCGAGCTTGAGAGGGGCCTTTGCAGGTATTCTAAATCTCTCAGTTGACTTGAAGACGTGGTACTACAGGGTTCAGGGAATAGAGGAGGAAGAGGTGATATGGTTCAATGAGGGGAAACACAAGCGAACAGCCCAGCCCCCCAAACCTGCAAGCAGATGCTCAGTGGGGGCAACTGAGCACAGGTTTGTGCCCACACCCTGAGGGCTGGTAGTCTCCCGCAGCTCCTGGTGCTGAGGCCTCAGGGTGCCCAGGAGAGCTGGGGAAGCTGCCCCCTGGTGGTGCTTCCTGGTGCTGCATCCTGTCCATAGTCGCCTTAGGTCCCTCTTGGAAACATTCCATTTGGCTTTTTCCTGTTGGAAATCCTGTACTTCCCTAAACCTCTAGCCTGACTGTGCTTTCCCTAATTCATTGCACAAGCTCTTTTGCTTTTAGTGTTACCGCTCATTGCCTCTCTAATCCTGCCTGATTGTGTTTACAGAAGCTTCTGGTTTGCATTGAACATTCTCTAACTGGCCTGTGCTATTTGTTACCAGGCTTATAATAGCAGCTCTGTCTCCATAGCATAGAGAGCGTGCCCAGATGTGACTCACCTTTTTGCTGCCCTCCTTCGTGCAGACCTACTGATTTGTAATCCTCTCATCCCAAAAGCCTCCCCGCAAGCCTGAGCCAACCCGCTGCTTCAGACCTCAGTCATTAGCAGAGGTCTGGGCACTATGAATTTATCAAAATCCATGCCTTACACCTGGACAGTAAACATGGACTTCAGAGATTGCACGTTTGAATACATTCTACCAAGGCTGACATTGTTCGGTTTTAATTTCTCTAGTCCAGGCTGGGTATGGTGGCTCACACCAGTAATCCTAACACTTTGGGAGGCAGAGGCCAGGAGTTTGAGACCAGCCTGAACAACGTAGGGAGACCCCGTCTCTACAAAAAATCCAAAAAAATTAGCTGGGCACATGGTGCATGCCTGTAGTCCCAGCTACTTTGGAGGCTGAGGCAAGAAGGTTGTTTGAGCCCAGGAGTTCAAGGTCACAATCAGCTATGATGAGGCCACTGCACGCTAGCCTGGACAACAGAGTAAGACCCTGCCTCCAAAAATATTAAAAAATCATTCCTCTAGTCCAATCACACAATTTCTTATGGAAAACTTTTGTGTTTCTGGTATTTAATAACTTGAACAAGTAGCAAAATATCCTATGTATTCAGAGGGCCCTTCTGTAGCTGTTAAGTCAGACACCAAAGGGGTAAATCCCAGAACACTCATATCTTTAAAAGCTGCAAACCTGATAACTTTTAAACTTTATAAGCAAATGTCATATGAAGTAAAACTGACTTTTTACAATTTGATGTCTCAAATGTAGAGATTATCTAAAAATCGTAATTGGAATACCTTGTAACTTTTCTCTTGAAAAAAAAAAAAAGACTCGTGTAAGTCTCTGCATCAACGCCAATAAACGTGTTGCTTAATAATAATGGATTGGCGTGGTTCTTCCCCAGGATATGTTGTAGAGTCTAGTGAACTTTTCCTGTTTGTGGAAACAATCAGGCTGGGTTTAAATGAGGACTTGTCTCTGTTTGGAGCACTTGTGAGCGTGTAAGAAAATGTGTGTTTTCTTTGTGAGTCATTAAATTAATTTTTCATTATTGGAACTTCAATTACCTAATCCTGCCAAACTGTAATTGGAAAGCCATCACCTAGGACTGGTCAGATTGGTTTGGAGTCAGTATTGAGAGCTTGTGCATGAATGGGTGAAATGTGCTGATAGGACCCTGAGTTTGGGGTTTTGGAGGGACTAAAAGGGGTGTCAAAGACAATCCTGCCCATTTGGGGCTCTGTGAGGTGGGTAGGGGGAGGGAGCAGAGGGCCTGGGATGGGTAAACATCTGCCTAGCTTCTGCTCAGGTCTGTTCTAGTCTCACCAACCAGTTCAGCAGTCAAAAGCCTGTGAGGATACAGGCCATGGGTGAGCAGAAAGCCACCATGGAGCTGGACAGGGGTGGTTGAATCTTAAAATGATTGGGTTAGATTTTCCTTCTTATAAAGCTTATGGCAAAATTGATACTGTGGAAGAGTCTTGGAAACATTGTTTGATTTAACATTTCAATTTTATATAATTTAGGGTCCCCCCCCTAATTTAAAGAAAATATCCCAAACTGATACCATCTTACACAGTAATTTGCCTCACTGGCCCCACACTGCTCCTGCTTGACCTCAGGGTGCAATATCCCCTACTGTATCCTGTTGGAAATTCCCGATAAAGAGGCTCTTGGTTATTCCACTTGCTTATCAGGGCCTTGAAGGGCTTGGTTTTTTTCCATTATTTCTGAGCCTGGGACATGCGGCTCCTGAACCAGAAAGCCTTCTGTGAGCTGTGGGGCAGCTGAAGGGGCAAATGCCTTCTCTAAAACTCTGTCCCGTGTTGTTTTGGGGTCACCCTCTCAGCTGGGAAACTTCTACATTCCTGGGGACCTTTGTGAACCTGAAGTCGTGGGTCTTAGATCTGTGCCCAGAGGATGCATGTTTGAACCCTCTGGGGACCCAGATCAGAGAGCCATCAGACATCTAGAACAGGCCATATGAAGGGGACAGAGGCCTTGTTCTCTGTCACACACAGAGTTACGGCACACAGCTCTTCATAATGGGTCACGGGTCTGTCTTCCCAAGGCCCCCGTGCCTGCAAGGCCCATCCAAAAGGGGACCAGTGTGCCTCTTTCAGCAGTCAGAAGTGACTGCATTTAACCTTCTCCTTCTGTTGCCAGTGGAAGCGTGAGCAGGACTTTGACCTGCAGTTGCTGGAACGGGCCATGCAAGGGGAAAGGAAGGACAAGGAGGAGAATGGCTGGTTGAAAGTGCAGGCCATGCCTGTCACTGAGTTGGACCTGGAACCTCAAGACTATGACCTGGACATCAGCAGAGAGGTGAGGGCAGGGGCTGCCTTCATGTCCCCTCGCTGGAGACATGGCCTTTGTGCTCCCAGACTTATCAGCCTTCCCACTGTGGGATATATTCTGACTGGGGACAGGCTCAGGTCCAGCATGGCCCAGGAGAATGGATGGATAGCAGCTTGAGACAATAAAAGGAGCCCAGGCATTTTGATGAAGGTTCAAATCTATCTCTGTAATTTGGGGCAAATTGTAATTTTAACTCCTGTGTGCCTCGGTTTCCTCAACAGTGAAGTGGGTTGTAGTGAGGATTAAGTGAATCAATATGTTCCTGAGAGGTTGGGTAATGATCAAAGCCGGCACACAGCAGGCATGTGGTGCAGTAGTTGTTACTGTTACACCAGGGGTTGGCCTTGCAACTGGCTGGGTCAGGCCAGCGTGGGCGATCTGAGCTGGGGAAAATAGGGGGCAGGTTTGAAAATCACAGGTGAAATTTCCAGCCTTGGCAGAAGCTAGGAGACAGTGCACAGTTCTCGTCTGAATTCTTCTGGTGCCCTCTGGTGGCTCACATGAATCATGACAGGGCAGGCATAGGAAAGCGTGTAACCCCGGATCTCCACCCAAGGGAAGAGAAAGGGAACTCTGGGGATGACAGACTCAGGGCCCTCAAGACATAGGTGGTCTCCTGTCGCCCACATTGTACCATCTGTAAGTTCTGCAGGGCGGTGTTTATGGCTGCTGGGTTCACCTTCGTATCCCTAGCACAGGGCCTGGCACACAGTGTGTGCTCTGCAAATACTTGCTGAACAAAGACTGTGTTGAATGCATCACACAGTGGCCCGTAAATGTCCTGCAAACATTTGTGTGAGGACTTGGCCTGTCCTGAAGCTGCACGACAGGAAATGTTTTCACCCACATGAAGGACGGACTTAGGAGGGCCCTCAGTAAGACTGCCCCTCAGGTCTGACAGCACAGTGAGTAACGAAGAGGACCTGTGCCTGTCGGTGCCTCTTGGGTGGGCCTGTGCACAGCTGACTTAGCCAGTGGGATCTACCTGACTCACTGTGTTAGGGGCTCACTCCGTCTTTGGAAACAAAGGAGCAGTGTGTTGGTAAATGGATGCCTATGGACTCGCTGAGTTCTGGGGTCAGCTGGGGCTCCAGGGGTTCAATAAGGCCAGTCCCTTGCCCCCAGGCCTTTTCCTGTTGGCACCTGAAACAGCCAAAGAAATCTTTGCTTTCTTAGATTCACAAAAGAAGCTTCCACATGCTGCCTTGGCAGTGGCAGTATGTTCTATAGTGTCCTAATTGGCCTGCCAGCCCGGAGAAAAAGTTTTTCCTTATCTCTAACCTAAATCCCTCCTGCTACAATGTAATCTACTTCCTTCCTCTAGATCTGCCTTCATTGGTAATAACAGAGAAGAGCTTATTTCTTGCCACCTTCAGTGGAGTGAAAGGGCTGCGTGTGGGTTTAAATCCATGTCCAGATTAGCTCTGGGATTGGGTTTAGGTTGTTTTCAGGAGCTTCAACCAACCCCATTTTAATGTGCTTTTGTAATTCAAAGAGGAAAAAGTTCCCGGGGCATGTAAAAGTAGCCTTTGGTGTTCTTAGTCCAAGAAGATTTCATCAAGCTGTTTGCCACCGGGTCAGCATGAGATGCTGGTGGGGAGTTTGGGGCCATTTTCCTATGGAAAGCAGCAGATACGGCACAGCTGCCTCCTGTCTAGATGGGGAGAGCTTTTGTAGGGACAAAAAGCACTATTGCTTTCTCCCATCCATCTGTCAATCATCCATTTACCCATCATCCATCCATTCCTCATCCATTGAAGGAGTATTTGCCAAAGGGCTGCTAAGCGCCAGGACCCTGCCAGAGATAATGGTGAACAGAAAGCGAGAGGTTGGGGGACCAGAGAAGGCTTCTCAAAGTGAGGTCAAGAAGATGAGAGTCAGTGGAGCAAAAGGAAGAACCTCTCAGAGGAAATGGCAGGACAGAGGCCCCACTGCGGGAGGGGGACTGGAGGAACTGGTGGGTCATTGTGGCTGAAGAGGTAGTCAGGTAGTCAGATCACTTAGTCCCTGAGGGTGGCATCAAGAATGGTCATGTTTATCCAGACCCGTCTTGTCGTTTTGCCTTACCCTTCACTTCCCTCGCCTGAAGGAAGTCATCTGGTGTAGTGGAAAGATCATGGGCTTCAGAGTCAGACTCAGGTTCAAATACAGATTCCACAGTTGACTAATTGTATGATCTTAGCAAGTTACTTAACCCCTATGGACTCTGTTTGCTTCCTCATGGTAAGGGGGGTGGGGCTGGGGAAATCAGGTTCCAAACCTAGACATCTGAGCCTGTCGCCCTGCCACCCCCTGGCCCTCTCCCCAGCTGTCCAAACCAGAGAAGGTCTCCATCCCTGAGCGTTACGTGGAGCTGGATCCCGAAGAGCCACCCAGCCTTGAGGAGCTGCAGGCCCGGTATCGCAAGGCTGAGAAGATCCGCAACATCCTCGCCCGGTCAAGGTTAGTGCTTGCTCGCTCAAGTCCTGACAGCTCGCTAGGACCAGCTGTAGGTGGTGTCTCAACCACATGGGCCTCGGGCCAGGCTGGTACCGAGCACGTCACCACCACATCAGTGAGGAAGCTTGCTTAGGTCATCTAAAAAGGCCTGAAACACTCAGCGGTTTCTTGTTGTGGGCTGTCGCCCCCTAAACTGGGTTCTGAGTGACCCTAGCAAGTGTAGGGAATGGAACCAAGCATGGCAGTGAAGCGCAGCTGATTGGAGATCAGCTCCAGTGATCATCCTCCCAGCATTTGGGTCTGTGCCCCCTCATGCAGACTGGCAGAGCAGAGCCAGGGCCCCCAGCCTTGTCCAGAGGGTGCCAGAGGCTTTGCCCACTTCCCTGGACACTGGGCAGGGGCCCTAGGAAGTAGCTTTCCTGCCCCCTCAGCCTCCATAGCTTCAGAAACGTCTTGTTTGTAAGCCTCTCTTTTAGAGCTAGGTTAGCCATTTCATATCCAAATTTAACAGGAACCTCCAGCTGGAGTTATTAATTTGAGGTCTGGTCTGTGGCCCTCCTAAAAGAGGAGCAAAGCTGCTGTGATCGTTTGGGTGTTTGGGGAGAAGCATGCACACCTTTGTCTAGGGAGAAAGTCCACAGTATTTGATGCCCCACAAAATGTTGAGAACGCTCCCCTCCTGAGGCTGATGCCCAGGGGTGCGAGGACCCAGAGCTTGCTTCCTGCCCGTCCCACAGCATGTGCAACCTACAGCCAGCACCGTCGGGCCAGGACAGGAGCAGCATGGCGGACCTGGACTCGCAGATGCAGGAGCAGGAGCGCATCATCAACATCTCCTATGCCCTGGCCTCCGAGGCCTCCCAGCGCAGCAAGCAGGTGGCAGGTAAGGCCACGGGTGCCAGCCTCCAAGGCCCAGGTCCACATACTGTTCTTTGGGGCTTGGCCTAGCACGGTCTGTCCCAGAGCCAGGGAGTCGGTGGAAAATAAGGTGTCAGTGTTGGTCGTTGAGGGTCAGTGGTGTGTTCTCCTGACCAGAGGATGTCCTGTCCCGTGAGCACAGCAGGGGTTGGAAGGGGAGGTGGGGCAGGCCAGGCAGTGGGGCAGACCGTGGGGTGCCCAGAGCTCAGGAGTGCTGGGGGGAAAGAGCGCCAGCAGTGGTGCTGCTGTTCACCTTCATTTAGAGACTGCGGGCTATGGCCAGGTTTTTCAGGCCCTGGGGCCAAGGAGCCAAGGCCAAAGTTTCTGATCTCATCAAGAAGGGGACAGGAAAGCCATTGGTGCTTGGATTTCTTGCTAGGGCAAGGCAAGGGGGACCCCCCCCTCACCCTCCCTGGGACCCCAGCCTTGGTCCCCAAACTAAAGCTGCTGTTCACCTTGTCAGAGTATCCTGTGTCAGAAAGCAGAACTTAGGAAGGGGGACTTTGCTGGCCAACTGGAAAAAACACCACCATGGGATAGGAGTGTGTGTGTGTGTGTGTGTGTGTGTGTGCGCGCGCGCGCGCATGTGTGTAAAAAGGCTGCTCTCTGTCTCAGCCAGGAAAGAGACTCCAGACTCTTCCCTTTACCCACATCTCCCCTCCCTGTGTGTACCTCCTGCCTTCACAGTTCACCTAGTACCATTCCTCCCAGATGCTGATGCCACTGTGTGTTTGGCTGGTGCCCCAGCCAGGTGTGCTCCTTCGGGGGAGGGCCATCACAGAGCCTGAAGTGGTGTCACATCCCATCCCAGTTCTCCAACCCTGGCCATGGGGGCTAGAAGTGGCCTAGGGTAGAGCCTGCCTGGGGAGCCTGGTCTGAGGAACAGAATTTTGCCCCTGGCCAGAAGGCCATGAGAGTGACCAACAACAAGGGGAGGGTCCAAAACCTGTCGGTCGAAGCCTGTTTTCTATCCTGGTCCCCTTGGAGGACATGCTGAGTAGGCTGAGAGGTGGTCGTGTGGCGTTCTGTGGCTAGGGACTCAGAAGATAGCTCAGCCAGACCCTCCTCCTAACAACCCGGGGCGCGTCTCAGCAACTCTTGAGCTCCTCCTTGTGTGGAGGGTTCCAGTGGGGGCAACTCCTTACCACAAAGCACCCTCTTTTCACCTGTGCTTGGCCTAACTGTGGCTCTGCCATCCTCGGCTTCCTTACCACCAGCCGACGAGCACGCCCAGCGCTCACGCCAGTTAGTGGGACCTTTCTCACCTCCCTGCTCAGCGACGTTCTTTGCTGCAGCCTTTTCTCACTCCTGCTGCCTCTCGTCTCAGGGACACACCCAGAAACCTCAGGCCAGGCCCAGCCGGTTCCCATCAGGCCCCATGGATCTGCCCCCTAAGCCCAGGCCACTGGTGGTAGGAATCGGGGCGCCCACCACCCCAGCCCTGCCACACGGGGCACCTGGTTCTGCGGGGGCTTCTGAGGAGTCTAACGCACCACTTAATTCCTGTTGCCCGTCTAGCGCAGCAGCTGGCCCTCCTCCCGCCTAACGCCCCCTTGTCCTCCAGGATGGTGCCAACTTACCCCCCCTTAACCAACGGACTCCACTACACCTTTGTCTAACACCTTCCAAGTAAGAGCCCCCGCCTGGCGTGCCCCTCGCTGCTCCCTGCCCTCGCCTCGCCTCCCTGCTACTGCGAGATGACTGCAGTGCTTCCTGCTGCTGCTTCCTTCCACCGCAAGGCAGCTGCTGGGGGGGCCACCCTGCACTGGTAGCCAATGGGGAACTGATGCTTTTTTAGGAATTCAGTCCTCAGGGGCCCGGATACAATAGAGACTGGGTGATCCAGGCCCCCTTCCTCCCTGAAATCTCTAGACCCAGAACTGTGCCCCTCCCACCCTGCTCTCCTTCCCCAGTGTAGCCTGATGGCCCAGGGACCAGACCACCAGCCTCACAGGGTTGGAAAAGAAGCATTAGATCTTGGCCTCTTGGGGCTTTGGCTTAGACTGAAGAACTGTAAGACTGGAAGAGGCCCAGTGAGGGCCTGGGGCTCACTTCAGGTCACACGGAAGTGGTGTCAGAGCAAAGACTGGTACTGTCCTTTTAGTTACTTGTCACCAAAGTGGAGAAAGAAAGGAAAGCCCAGGGCGATGTGGAATTGGCCCTCAGCCAGTCGGAGTGTTCTGGCCCCACCCCTGCGAAGTCCTGCCCACGTGAGCGTCTGATGATGAAAAGCAGGTGGGATCAGGGAAGGAGCCCTGGTCTAGGAGTCAGGAGGCCAGGCACCTGGTCCAGTGAGTTCTTGGCCTGGGCCTGTTGTTTCTGAGTCCATCGCCCCACCTGGACAGGAGAGGGTCAGACTGGAGGCCTTGGTAGTCCTTTCCCTGACATCCCACCTCACCAGCACTTTGGGAGGCCAAGGCAGGAGGATCGCTTGAGATCAGGAGTTCGAGACCAGCCTGGGCAACATAGCAAGGCTCTGCCTCTACAAAAAGTTTTTAAAAATTAGCTAGGTGTGGTAGCACACACCTGTAGTCCCAGCTACTTGGGAGGCTGAGGCAGAAGGATCGCCTGAACCCAGGAGTTCCAGGCTACAGTGAGCTATGACGACTTCACTCCAGCCTGGGTAACAGAGTGAGACTTTGTCTCAAAAAATAAATAAAATTTAACAAAAGATATTCACCTCCATTTTACAAATGAGAAATTGAAGCTCAGAGACCTTGAGGGACTTGTCCACGGAGTTGCAGCTTGCCCCTAAGCGTCAGGGCTTGAACCCCTTCCATGTGAGTCCAGAGCCTTTGTTCTCCATCAGCACTCGTGGGTTCGTCTGGGCCACACCCAGGAGTGTTTGCAGAAGAGACTGAAATCAGGGACAGAGTGTGTTACAGGGGACAGGGCATGATTTTCAGCAGGTGTCCCCTGGCTTGGGTGTCCCCCCAGCCTTGGAGCAGAGTCAGCAGGCCCCAGCCAGCCCGAGTGTGGGCGGAAGAGGTCAGCCTCCCAGGGCCCGGCTCTCAGGAGGTGTGGAGAGCAGGCCCCAGGTCTGAGGAACCGTAGGGAAGTGCTCTAGCCAGGTCCTTCATAAAGGCCACAGAGACCTGCCAGGGCCACGGTAGGGTGCACGGTTTTCTCCTGGAGATCTGAGCATGTAACGCCGCTCAGGCACAGACAGGCAGGAGAGAGCGTCGGTCCCCCGTGGCTGTGAGCTGGCACATCCACGTTTCCTCTCACCCTCACGCATTCTCACTAGGAGGTGGGTGTGATCACCCTGTTTTTAGGTTAGGAAAACAAAGCCCTTGGAAGCTGAGGGAGTTATCCACAGTCATTCAGTGAATGAAGGGCAGGGCCGGACTGGGATCAGCGTCTCTGCTCAGGCTTTTTGTCCTGTCTGGGCAGAAGCCCAATTTAGGGGCCAGCAGGTGTCTAGGAGCAGAGGGGGTGGGCCTTGAGCCCATGAGTTCTAGCAGCTGAGGGTCCCCCAGCAGCAGCCGCGTCGCCTGAGCCCCCCGCTCCGCTGCTGTGTTAGCCTGTCTGCCGTTCCCTCCGCGTGTGTGCGCAGGCGTGCCTGCCGCCCGCCCCCAGATGGGAGCAGGGCTCCTGCCAGCCTCTCATCGTCTCCTGTGCTTTTTGCCAGCCCAGGCAGTGCCCGACCCGTGACCCAGTGTGCAGAGGAGAAGCCTGGAGCCCCGGGGCCCAGTGGACCAGCTTCCTCCGAGGAGATCGACCTTTCGGCCCCCAAGGAAGCCCCCTCCAGCCAAGCAGGGTTCTGGCTGGGGGACGGAGCAGCTCGCCAGCTGAGGAGTGTTCACCACAGGGCCAGGCCCTAACGTGCCCACTAGTTTTAGTTCAGACTCCTTTTTACATGTGACAAAGGCACTTTTGATACACACTGTAAAATACTGACACTGTATTTTAGCACCAGAATATATTTTATAATGTTCACCTCAAGGGCTGGAAAGGTGTGGACGCAGGATTTTGTAGCGGCACATACAGATTCAGGTACCGTCTGGGTGACAGGTGTGGGTGGGGGAGAAGGGCAGGGGGAGCAGAGGCCAATCCAACTTCCGACAAACTCAGGTGAAAGTTGGATTTGAGGATGTGCTTGCAGTGGATCCCAGCGCTAGGCCTGTCGGCGTGCTGTCCGGGAGAAGAGGGGCCCCTGGCTGCAGAGAGCAGCTGTCCCTGACCTGGTGACCAGTTCCGTGTGGAACTCCATCCACCAGGATGGCGTGTGGAGCCCAAGTCCGTGCCTTGGCCCCTGAGTTTGGTTTCAGGGCAACAGTGTGTTCAGGAGCACCGGGCTCTACAACCTTCCCACCAGGTTCCCTCAGCAAAGGGTTCTTCTCAGAAAGAAAAATGCAGTTTGCTTTAATTAGAAAAAAAAAAAAAGAAAAGAAAAAATACACTTTCAAGTACAGAAAAGGTGAGAGGAAGCAACTTTTATTGTATCATAGCAATAAACTCCACACTGGGTAACGTCTACCTAGCATCCCTGACTGAATGCCTCCCCTCCAGCCAGGCCGCGCTGGGAGCCTCTGCTGCCGCCGTGGGGCTGCCCCAGGACTTGGGTCTGGTGGTGGGAGGGCAGGCAGGGCGCCCCCAGCATCCCTGACCGCCTGCCACCAGCAGGGCCACCATGGCAGGTCTTTGGCTTGACTCCAGCCACAAACGAGGAAGGGGGCTACCAAGCCAGGTGCAGAGTGTGTGGCCCTTTATGTAAGTCATGTTCTCATGATATTCTGCGTACAGAAAATGTTTAAAAGGAAACAACAACAACCAACAAAAACCTCCATCAGGTGGAGCCACACTTTAATGAAAATTTGTCTTTGACTACGCTCAGAAAAAAAAAAAAATCTTGAATATATTTAGAAGTTGCCGTCTATTTTTAACTAACTCCATATGCTGCCAGTATCAACTTCATGACATTTGCCAAAATGAAATTTTATTTTTGCCTTTATAAGATTTTGTTGGAAAAATGAAATGAATATTTTGCAAGGAAACGTTAATTTAAATAAAAGTGTAATGGTTTGCAAAAACAAATGTGATGTACAGATTAAAATATTAACCTGATACGTTTCCTGTTTCTTGCTGGTTATATGCTCTTCCAGTGGCCTTTGTTAGTTTTTTTCCGTTTCTTTGGAAAATCCCCACTGTTAGCTCTCAACCCTGCTTGTGTTAACCTATGCAAAGTTTCTCCTGATGACAGTTCCTTGACACTTGATTGACTTTGGAGGCCTGGGGCAAGGAGGCCTGTGCTTCTGGGCCCTTGGCTGGGCCTCGGCAGCTGCTCGGGGTGGCCCCCCACCCCACCAAACCCCAGTCGATGAGCTGCGGGGCTCTGGACTCCCGTGTGGGGCTGGTTTGGCAGACAGACTGCAATCCAATCCAAGACAGCACAGGGGATGCCACGGGCCCCCTTCCAACCCACACGCCGCCAGCTTGTTCCAATGGAGCGGGTTAGTGACGGACCATTGCAAACTGGATTCGTATTTAATTCATTTTGACTTGTGATGTGTGCTTAAAACAGAAGGCAAGAGGCCAGTTCGATTTAGAGATGTGTATATTTCCAAGTTTGTTGTTATGGCAGTTTTTCTCCACTGCCAAGAAGAGCACCCGAGGTTTGGAATGACTTTCCAACTATTTAAATTAGGGAAAGTAGATTCCAAGGCATTCTGAACAGGGGATATGGTTCCTTTTTAAGCTACTGGTCTCTTTTTGAATTTTAAAATAAAAAATACTCTCTGATTTTAAGCATTACTTGGAGATGTCTCCCTAACAGATGAAAGGGGGGATGATTCCATAGCTGAGTGCAAAGCCCACCCCCCACCCCCAAAAAAACACAAGCCCAGGAGGCAGTGCCACCACACAGGATGGTATTCTGTAGACATTCTCGCACTGAAAGCATGCCAGTGGTTTCCTTACTGTTGCTCTCAGTTTCTGTCTCTCACATACAGTCTCATGTAAGAAGAAACATGGCAACCCCCTAACCAATTGCTCTTTTCGGAGTGCTCCATCCAGTAGGAGGAGTAGCCTGTTTAATAAGAATTGTGGCCCAGATTTCAGTCTACAGAGAGCGTGACAGGCCCTCAGCTCAGATGTGGCGGAGAGCACCCGGGGTCAGAAAAGGCACACTCGAGCCGCATCCCGTGTGGGCGTGCAACGTGTCACTGCCCGTCTCAAACCCTTGAGAGGACTCTCGTCTCTGGAGGTAAGATGGGGCCATCCCTGAAAGTACTGGCTGACCAAGGACCCTATAGGGTGTGGCCTAGCAGTTCCAACTTCCCTTCTTTTCAGGAGACCCGGGGCCTGAGCAGTGTTTTAAGCAACGGGATTGCACTTGGCACGGGGGACGTGAATGTGCCTCTCCTGCATTCGTCTGCTGGCATCATTCGCTCCTCAACTCCAACTGTAACACGGGCCCAGGGTGTCTGGTTGTAGCAAGAACCAACAAGAATGTTTTAGGATCTAGTATAAAACAGGTTGGGACTAAAATCTTTTCCCTATGCCCACTTGAACCTCCTGAACTGCCATGATTTTCAGAGCGTCTAGGACGCTGTTTAAAGGATTGCAGTCGTGCCTATGGGTTGTGAGTGTGTATGACGTAGACGTGCCCAGGCTAGTGCAGATGCTGCAAACAAGCATTTTGTTTTCTCCCAGCCATTCACTTTTCCGCCTGCCTTGGAGTCTGGCTGTGGGAGTATAAACGGCAGCCTGGCCCCTTCTACTCCCTCTAATCCCTTGGCTGCCTTCAGGGTCTCCACAATTTTCCCGGCTGTTTTCTGTAGCAGCCCAAGGCCAGGGCATCATCTGTCTGCCCAGGTGGCTCCAAGGACCTGAAGGGGAGGGGGCCAGGTGGATGCAGACCTTGGCTCAGCCAGACAAGAGCCCATCTGGGGCTTGGGGAGTTTCCCATAGCCACAGCACAGGACTCATGGCGAGTCCTTTTGTGTTCTCACCAAGGGTGGGACAGAAGCAGCAAATTTTTTGTCTAATCCACAAATCACATTTCTGAGACGTGGCAGACAAATGGAGCGAGCCCTCTGCTTCCGACTCGGCATCAGACGCTGGGGTGCGCGAGGGACTTTGCCCATGTGGGTAGTGCGCCATTATGAAAAGAACAAAGAGACCAGGCTGGGGAAGACATGAAAAATGGCAGCCCCTCCCGGCCCAGTAAACATGCCATTGCTCTGCCGCCTCTACTCAAAAGGCTACCACTTTCATTGCTCTCCTAGCAAAGAAACCTTTCTTCAGAGCGAGTGGCAGGGTACAAAGGCAGAGTACAAAATGTGTGCACATCACAGTCCCCGCAATTCTGTTTGAACAAGCGTATTGATTGGGTCTGACCCTGTTACATTTTTTCCCTATTATTTGAAAAGGTGCATCTAAGTGTAGTGAATTGAACCAGCGGAGCTGAACTTTCCATGAAAACTTCTCGAGGTATTTCTTTAGTTCAAAGCTTTTGAATTTTAAAGGGCATTTTTAATATGAGTCTGTTGAGTATTCTCTGCCACAACCCAACAAGGGATGTTAAATGCAGATGAGGTGGGAGCAGGCGAGGATGGGAGCGGACAGCGCAGGGGAGGGTGCAGCCCTGGCTGGAGGGCGTGGACCAGCCTGTCAAAAGCCAGGCTTGGAGGAGAGACGCTGAGCCCCATGCTTTGGAACAGCACATGCAGACCCCTAAAAGGGACCTCTCTGAGCACACTAGGGACAGCTTAGTGACAGGAAAGGGGCTTCACAGCTGAGCTTCTCAAAGGCTCATGTGGAGAGGCAGGAAGCACATGCTGAGGGCTCCTTCTGATGGAAGAGATTTTGTCCGCGTGCACGAGTGCCTCCTTGTTGCTTAGCTGCTCACTGTCTCACACTCTGCCTTAGAGCTGAGGTGGAACGACGGAGGCAAAGTCCCTTGGCTGAGCTCACCGAGTCAGACAGGAAGCTGCTGCAACTGTCTGCAGTCACACACAGCCCTGCCCTGTCCTCCAGCCCCTGGGTAGACCTCACTAATCAGTCGCAGATGCTTTCCCCTTGAGCCCCAAGCTGCATCTCAGTCCTTAACTGGTTTAATATCTTTGGACGTTTTGCTAGTTGTTTGGGCCATAGCAGTGGTCCCTTTTGCCATTCTGGCCCAAAGCCCTGGAACTATCCTCCAAGTCTCATTCTCTACACACAGAGGGCGGCTCTCACAGCTCGCTGAAGGGCACGGCTCCTTTTGACTGAGCTGGCTCATTGCTGGTCTGAGTCGCTGTTGCCTCCGGAGGCCTCTTAGACCTAGAAAGCACCCCTTCCTAGGCCTAGAATTTGGGTTCAGAGACAGAGTCATCCCTGGGAGGAGCTGGAGAATCACATCCTTCACGGAAAACTCCCAAAGCTTGGGTGTGTCAGCAAAATCCTTTCAATGTCTTTGCCAAATCTCCAGCCTGGAAGACCCTGGCCTGGGGGAGACACAGTCAGAATCACAGTAAAAAGCAGTAGTTCCCTGAGTTCATCTCGGCCCACAGTTGTGGGGACACCAGCCCCCTTCAAAGTCCTTCCTTGTTCTGGGAGCCCCCAGGGATGTTCCATGTCTGCTCTGAGATGCGTTTTCTTGGCCATCGCTTTCAGGCCTTCCTGCTGGTACTTGTGTTTCTTGGGGCCACACTAGCTGGTGGGCACAAATGAGGTCCCAATGACAGTAATAACACAGATTTTATGGCCTCTGCTCCCTTCTGCCCACCACAGGGGTCTCCCCTGGGTATTCCTGGAAGTCTGCAGACATATCTCAAACAGGTTGGCTGTGGCACCATGGATAGGCAAACATCAGCTGGTCAGGCTAGAGTGGCCTGGACATCAGTAGGTACCAATGGCCACTCAAGCTTGGATAATAACTTAAGGCTTCAGGCGTTAACTATTTTAGAGGAAAACTTGTTAAGCAGAGGGAGACAGTCTCCTTGCAAACTGGCCATTGCTTAGAGCACAAGCCTCACAACATGGGATGGTTTCCGTGAGCCTTACCCACAGGAGAACCGCCATACTGTGTCTGCCCGCATGTGCCCGTCTCACGAGCCAGCCTGTGCACTCCTTCACGGCCTCCTCTTGCTCAGTGCCCAGCTTATCACAGGCACTTGCGGACTGCTCGGGGGATGGGATGTGAGATTGGAGCGGGCAGGTGTGCTGTGGCGCCTGCCTCCCACTTCCCCATTTCTCACCGTGCCACGAGGACCAGCCCTGGGGTGACAATGCAGAAGGCTCTGCAGAGTGAGCTGATGGCGAGGGTGGGGAGCTGCACGGTGAACAAGCTGCAGCCTAGAGTGGACGCCCTGAGCTTGGCGCCTGGCTCTGGGGATGCACAGTTGTGGTTCCACTCCAGCAACTCTTCCTTCTCCCTGACACTTGCCCACCGCTGATGAATCTAGTTCATACTTGAAGCTCCACCAACATCAGGTCAGAATAGTTTCCCAGGTTATGATTATAGTTAATAATGAGGCTGGTTACATTTAGTAAGTGCTTATTCTGTATCAGAAACTTTGTGTCACGCTCGGCACCAAGTACAGTTTCTACTTGTGAATAGCAGCATGCTCCTCCACATCATCTGGGCCCTTATCCCCAGACACGGCCACGTCTCCAGCTCTTGTCCGTGGGCTGCACATGGAAGTGATGTGTGTCATTTCTGGGCTGAGCATTTAAGAGCCAGTGCAGCCTCTCCGGCTTTCCCTTTCCCTGCAGTGGCCACCTAGAGGCCACAGATTCCAGGTGGGGGAACCACAAGGTGCAAACTGACTAGCTCTAACTCTCCACTTGGGAAAAGAATGGCCTGGGAGAGGCCCCAAGGCCCATAGCTAACTTTACATGAGTGAGAAATAAACTTTGATGTATTCACTCCTGGGATTTTAGGGTTTATTTTCTACTGTAGCATCATCTAGATTACCCAGAATGTAGGTATTATTAATATTATTCCCATATTATAGATGAGAAAACTGAGGCACGATGGTTCCATGAGTAGTAAGTGACTGAGTTGAAATTTGAGCTTTTGTATCTGTCTGACTCCAGAGAGCTTTTAACCACTGTAGTGGCTGCTGTTACCTTCAGAAGAA